AACCATTTTAAAGTGAATAATTCAGTGGAATTTAGTCCATTCACAATATAATGTAGCCACCACCTCTGTCTAGTTCCAGAACATTTCCATCACCCCAAAGGAAACCCCGTACCCATTAAAACAGTGACTCCTCATTCCCCTCCCCACAGCCCCTGGCAACCACTACTCTATTGTCCATCTCTATGTTCTGGACATTTCATGTGCATGGAATCATATAACACGTGGCCTTTTGTGTCTGGCTTCTTCACGTGGCATCATGTTTTCAAGGTTCATCCGTGTGGTAGCGTGTATCAGAGCTCCATTCGTTTTTATGGCTGAGTAATATTCCATTGTATGGATAGAGCACGACTTGCGTTCATCTGTTGATGGACATTTGGGCTGCTCCCACCTTTTGGCTGTTGTGAATAGTGCTGCTATGAACATGTGTGTACACGTATTTGTTTGAGTCCCCGTTTTCAGTTCTTTTGGGTACATGCCGAGGAGTGGAATTGCTGGGTCGTATGGTAACTATGTGTGACTTTTTGAGGAACTCGCCAACTGCTTTCCACAGCAGCTGGCGGTGCCTTTCGAGAATAGCTACCATTTTTTGCTTTACAGATGAGGAGACTAAGGCTCAGAGTGGAGATGAGAAGCCTTCCCCCAAATCTCACAGCTGGAGGCCCGGCTGGGATTTGAACCCAGGCCCCCGAGTCTGTGTCCATGTGCTTTTCTTTGTAGCCGAGCCAGCCCGGGGCTGGATGAGGGAAACAGTTAATTACAACCACCACCACTGCCCCGGCTGTTATTTATTGCATGTTTAAAATGTGCTGCTACTGGACTAGCTTTTGTATGAGTTGTCCTGTGTAAGCCTCACAGTCTCTGATGAGGACATGCAGTAATTGCTCCATTTCACAAGCAGGATGTTGAGGCCAGGAGGGCCAGGTCTGAGCCAGTGCTGCTCGGAGCCGTCACCCTGAGCTGGCTCCGGGGCTCCCACAAGGGGGGCGGGGCAACCTGGTCTGTTGGCCCTTGTGATAGATGATCCTGAAAATCATATTTGCACAGATAACTTCATAGCAACACGCATGGAATTTGGGGCTCAAACGTTAAAAATATATTTACCCAGACACTCCGCAAGGTTGTCTTTGCCTTGTCCAGACTCTGTTTCAATCTTTGTCCCCACCTGGGATTTTCTCATAACTGCAATTGTAGTACAAATCAGAGTTTAGAGTTACAGTGTGTGTGTGTGTGTGTGTGTGTGTGTGTGTTGATTTAACGGGATATCTTACACATTTTCTGATGTGACTGCAATCGTTTTTCTTATTGCTTTAATGGACATAACTTTGCACTGAGAGAACAGTCTGGTTACCTCTGACATTGGAGATATTTTATTGTTTATTTTTTCTTATTATGAACAAGGCTGCCACAAATATTGTGACTAGGATCTTTTCCTTCCTCCGGGTGTTCCTTGGGATAAATTCCTGTGAGGGTGATTCCTGGGGAGAAGGTTTAAATATTTTCGTGGTCCTTAATACCAGCTGCTGCGGTGTTTTCTGAAAGCATTGTTCTGATGTCTCGCCTCCAGGTGACAATCTGTCTGGTTTTTATGGTGACCCCACGTGGGTCCTGGAGTGCAGTGGTGGCACGCCAGTGCTCTAGCCTGTCCACCCAGCTCTCCTCTTCCTTCTTGCATTGTATCATTTCTTCTTCTCACTGCCCCAAAGCTCAGGCCACCAGTCAAGGGATCATCCCTGGGTGGAGTGACCTGGGACAGGTCAAGGCACCTTTCCAAGAGCCACAGTTTCCTTACGTGCGGAATATGCAGCTGTGACCCTTGACCTTTAGGGGGCTGTGAGATGAGAGGTTCTTGGGCACATGTGCCCCTGGGGAAGGAGCGCAGAGGACCAGTGTCTGCCCCCCTCCCACATGCCTCACCCCAGGACCTTTGCACTGACCGTTCCCTCTGCAAGGGACACTCTCCCTCAGGCACTCCTTTACTCCCCTCAAGTCTTTGCCCAACTGTCACTTTCTCAGTGAGACTGCCCTGACCATCTGTGAAATGTCAGCCCCCTCTCCCAAACCCGTTACCCTGCTGTTTTTCCAAACCACGGCGTTGATGTTCCAAGGTACTCATATTGCCTCATCAATTTATGGCTTATTGTCTGTTTCCTCCACTGGAATAGAGAACGCGAGCGTGAGTTCTTCGTTCGGTCACGTGTGCCCAGACGGTGCCTGTGCGTGCTACACGACACTCCGCCACTGACGGCCTTTCCTCACATTTCCACTCTGCTGTCCCCTGGCTGCGTCCTCCGAGGAGGCTGGCTTCTCTCCGTCCTGGCCCAGCCGCTCTCTACTTCTGGGAGAGGAGGGACCCCGAGATGGGTCGGGGCCGCGTTAGCCGGGGTTGCCCAGGCCCTGAGGAGGGGGCTGGGGAGGAGGTGCCGCCTGTGCCAGCTGGAGAGTGGGGGGCGGCCCCACGCAGCAGGGCCCCCCCACTGTGAGTTCCCCCGGTGACGGGAGACTGAAGTGGGTGCCTCTTAACACTTAAGAGCTGAGTGTGTGGTGGTTTCTAAACATCTCAGAAACAGGAGCAGCTCTTTCTAGAAACAGCCTGCCTGCCAGGGCCCGTGCCCGCCCTAGCTGCCCCACCTGGGCTCCCCGAAGCTTGCCCGCCACCCACCGGCCCCGCTCTCCATGGCAGCTCCCCTCCCTGAGTCTTGTTGGGGAAAAGCACAGGAAATTGAAAAACTCTCCCGCCACCTGCGGCCTTTGAAGGGTGCACCTGAACTGCCCAGAGTGGAAACCGAGGGGAAAATGTGGTCTTTCCGGTTCGGGGAGAAAGAACAGAGCACAGCTAGGAGTTTTTGTGCCTGGGGCAGCTTCCAAGAGCTCCCTGCCTCCCCACCTCTCGCCCCGGCCCCCTCTGGGACCTCTGCTGCGGGGACGGGTTTCCTGGGTTTCTGGCCGACAGTTGGGGCTCGTGGCTTGCCGCCCCCCGGTGGCACCTCCCTCCACAGCACGTCCCCTCCTGGCTGGAAAGCAGCTGACTGGAGACTCCTTGTCTGGGCCGTTCACCTGATGATGCTCACATCTGGTGGGTCTCGTCCCTCACCTGCAGTCACTGACTTCCACTTGAATATTTGTGGCCACGGGGAGCTTACTCCCTCCTGAGACTGTCCCTTTCGTTGTCACCCAGAGGTGCTATTTAGAGTAGAAAGAGAAGTCAACATCCTTCTCCCTGCTTACTTTAGCAAGAGGTTCTCAGGCTGGAGCGGGGTCCACCCTGGTAGGGGGACGTCACGGGGCCTTGGCGACAGCCCCATGTGCGCGCGCCTGTGTGTGTCTGTCTCTGGGGAGAGGACCAGCTTCTCAGAGGGCTTTGTGACCCCCCGGAAGGTTAAGAACCGCAGCGTGGAATTTTGACTCAGCATGCCTGGGCGGGTCACGCCTTTGCGGGATGAGTGGGGACGAGCCAGGGGACCTTGCTGCAGGGAACCTCGAGAGCCGGGCCAGTAAACCTCGCAGGCGAAACGGGCTTACTGGTGCTCCTTGCTCCGGTGGGGAGGATCATGGCAGTGACGAATGGGAACGTGCTGTGGGAGTGCCGAGTCACCCGGGTGCCATGGGGCGTCTTTGTATGTGGTGGCTCTGGCTGTTTGCACCACTGTGCACTCCAGATCCTGCACACGACTGTCTTCCCTGTGAAGGCCCCCTTGCCTCCCGCCTTCACACATTGTCCCTCCTCTGAAGGTTCTGGACCCTCCCTGATCCTCGGCATCATCCCCCTCTCTCACTGCCCTCTACAGCCAGCCGACCTCTGACCCCCAGATGGCCAGGCCTCTGGTGGCGGATGTTGCTGCTGCTCCTCTCCCTGGAGCCTCTGGCTGGGGGTGGGGATCCCGACCCTTTGGGGCAGCCCCACTTTTCCTTCTCATCTCTCTCAAGGTCAAAGGTCTTCAAGTTAGGGCACTGCGGGCTGAGTGTAGTGGGTTAAATGCATTTATAGAGGAGCTGCTGCGTGCTGGCCCTGGGCAGGGACCAGGGCATTCCCGCATGGGTGGGTGGGCCCTCCTGGAGTGCAGGGTCCACTGGGACCCTCGGCATGTTGTGGAGGATTCTTGTGAGCAGCTGGGAAAACAGGGAAAGTTCCATTTTTAATTTTTAAAAACTTTTTATTGAAGTACATATCCACAGAAAAGTGATGCATTTTGACAAACCGAATACACCCGTGCGACCAGCACATGAGGAGGGTTCCACGGTGCGGAGGTGAACTTAGCTGTGCAGCCTCCTCTCGAAGCCTTCTCTGCCCCTCTGTAAAGTTGGCATTATGTCATTGCAAGAGATCAGGGTGTCCTATGGAATGTAGTTGTGACATTCCATTGTTGGATTTTCAAAATGTCCTTTCTTGCCACAAAAAATTGTAGACCTAACATAGTGGTGACGGTGGTGGTGATGGTGGGAGTGGCAGAGCCCCATAGACAGTCCTGACCTCGAGTCCTCCCCGCGACCTCCCATCCTGCAGAGGAGGGGCCAGGATCTGAGCCAGGCGCTCGCCCTGGCAGCCAGACCTTACTCAGAGCAGCACAGGGAGCTGTTGAAGGGTGCCCCCAGAGTGGGAGACTGAGGCCACAGTCCCAGGAAGGGGCTTGAGCTGGAACAGTGGTCCAGGAATTATAAGAGAATCCTGAGGCTCCATCCTGCCTGGACTTGTCATCCCAGCCAGGCCTCTCCCAGTCAGCATGGCCAGGGCTGTGCCCTCCCGTCCCCCTCCCCTGCATCAGACTGACCAAGATGATGTGACTTCTCTGCAGCCCCCAGAGGACCTGTTTATGAGGTGGTGGGCATGGCAGGAAGAGTCACCCAGGCCTGGCTGGGATGAACAGCAGCCCTTGGTGATTTCAGTCACAACAGCACTGTTTGCTGTGTTGAAAGAGCCTCTGAATGGCATGGCTTGGGCCTGCCCAGACACCTTTGTGGCAGCGCCTTGGGGAGTGGAAGGAAGGAGCCCGAGGGCCTTGGGCATGGGCGGGCGGGTGCCAGGAGTGGTTCGTGCACACAGCCCCCTGTCTGGGCTGTGTGGCCTGTGGCTGGGCCAGTGGTCCTCACAGTTTGCTTCTGCCCCCACAGCCTCACCTCTCCTGCTGTTTGCCAACCGCCGGGACGTGCGGCTGGTGGACGCCGGCGGAGTCAAGCTGGAGTCCACCATCGTGGTCAGCGGCCTGGAGGACGCGGCCGCGGTAGATTTCCAGTTCTCCAAGGGAGCCGTGTACTGGACGGACGTGAGCGAGGAGGCCATCAAGCAGACCTACCTGAACCAGACGGGGGCCGCCGTGCAGAACGTGGTCATCTCCGGCCTGGTGTCACCTGACGGCCTGGCCTGTGACTGGGTTGGCAAGAAGCTGTACTGGACAGACTCGGAGACCAATCGCATCGAGGTGGCCAACCTCAACGGAACATCCCGGAAGGTCCTCTTCTGGCAGGACCTTGACCAGCCGCGGGCCATCGCCTTGGACCCCGCTCACGGGTAACCCAGCTGCCTCTCCTTTTTGGGGAGAAGGGGGGACGGTTCATGGTTTCCCTCTTGAATTTACTTGAGCCCAAGTAACTTTTTCACAGAAAACCTGATAATCTTAAAAATGAGTTCACCTTTCAGAATTTGTTGAGAATTATTTCCCCTTGATGTACCATAGTCATGTTTCTTTTCTTTTCTTTTTGCTGAGGAAGATTCGCCCTGAGCTAACATCTGTGCCAATCTTCCTCTATTTTGTATGTGGGCCACCACCACAGCATGGCCACCAACGACTGGTGTAGGTCCATGCCCAGGAACTGAACCCAGACCACTGAAGCAGAGCATGCTGAACTTAACCACTAGGCCATGGGGCCGTCCTCCATGTTTCTTTTTTAAACTTGCCATGTCTGAGGCAACTGACGTGCCCAGCTGTGGATTTGAATTGTTAAACATCTCTGTTGTGTGTGATGGTGTCTGAGGAGGTGTGGATGCTTGAACACGTAGAATTTGCACCTTTCACTCCTTTATAACTGCATTAGCAGAAAACAGGCGGAAAAAGTGAAACTCCTTGTCCAGAAGTAGAACTTGCTGAGAGATTGTTTCTCTAGTCTCTTCCAGAAGCTTTCTGCTCCCCTGTCTGAGGTCACCGAGACCTGTGAAGGCTCAGGGCTTGGCCACGAGGTCCCGCTGGGGTTTGTGAGTGGTGGTAAAGTGAAGAACACACTCGGAGTTGAAGGCTGGGTTGGAGAGGTGGTGGGGAGATGGCTGAGCTTCACTGGCCAGCCAGGCCATGCTCATTCTAGACTTTTCCGAGCAAGAGCTGTTTGCTCAGTCACTCTTCGGCCCTCAGACCCCTCCTCTGTAGCCCGGGAATGACACACTCTTCCTTGGGCTGCACGGAGTCAGGTGCCTGCCTGCTGTCAGTGGCCGAGCCACTGCCGTGTCTGTCCAGTGCTCTGCTGTCTCTGAGATCTTGAACAGAAACACAATAGGACCCCTGGGTTCTGGTCCTGATGCCACCAACTTGCTGTTGCCCTGGCAGTGACCTTCCCTGTTCTGGGGACATTGGCTGCGCTGCCTGCAGACCAGGCTGGAGGGGCCGATCGGCCTGCCTGAGGTGGGTGGAAGGAGGGCCGGGAGGCCGAGGCCAGTCCCACCGAGGCTGGCATTTGGGTAGCTCAGGGAACAGGCCAGGTGAGGGGATGCCGTGTAAACCTCCTTATGAGGGGGGTTCTTGGGGTGTTGACCTAGAAAGTGCTCTAGACTGGCTTCTGCTGTCGGAGGACGAGGCACCTTCTGAAGCTGGCTGGTTTGTGTAAAAGCTGAATGTGCGGGTGCGTGCACGTGCACGCAAGTGTGTCTGAACCACTGAGTATGAGAGTGGGAGGGTGTGAGCCTGTGTGCGTGTGCACGAGTATATGTGTGCATGTTCAAGTGTATGTATGTGTGTGTGCATGTGAGTGTGTGTGCCTGTTTGTGTGTAAGTGTGTGCATGGGGTCAGTGTGCACACACACCAGGGGCAGGGTGGGGTGGAATTTACAGTCCTGGTATCTGACTCGCTGAGGTCAGACCAGACGAGCCTGGTGCCCCCCACCAGAAGAGTGCCCTAACCCCAGTGTCCCAGGGCGGCCATGCCGGGTAGTGACGTCCCTGTAGGCCCCTCTTGCCCCCCCCTCCAAGTGGGCTGAGCTGCCCACGGGCCAGGCTGACCTTCCAGGACGGTCTCGGCGCTGCCTGGTGAACGGTCCGTGTCTCAGACCTCTCCCACGCTACACTGTGCTCCAGGCCTGCTGCTCACTGGCCACCTTCCAGGAGGCGGTGGCTGGTGTGGCCGAGTCTCCCTGGCTCAGAGAGGGCATCCGTCAGTGGCTATAGAGGCTGAGGGGGACAGCGTCGAGGTCCTTACAATGCACTGTGGGGAGAAGACTGTAAACGGCTAGTATGTCCGAGAGGGGTGTGTGCCACAGAGAATAAAGCAGGCCTGACCTCAGGGAGAGCGAGGCAAGGGGCTTCCCATTGTAGGTCAGGAGCCTGGAACGGTCTCTTAGTGACGTTTGAGCAGAGACCTGGAGCAGATGAAGGTGAGAGCCATGCAGCCGTCTGGGGGAAGAGTATTCCAGGTGGAGGGAACAGCCGGTGTAAAGGCCCTGGGGTGGGAGGGGCTGGACGTGTTGGAGGGGCTATAGTAGAGTGAGGGAGGAGCGGAGGCGGGGCACATAAAGTGGGAGGAGGAGGCAAATCAGGTTTCGAGTGGAGAAGTCGCCAGGTCTAACTCACGCTCAAGGGGGTCCCTTTGGCTGTTGAGTGGGACTCAAATTTGGAGTGGAAGCAGGGAGCTCTATTAGTGGCTGTTCCTGTGATCCTGGCAATAGAGGGTGGCAGCTTGGACCAGGGAGGTAGTGGGCTGGGGTGAGAAGTGGCCATATATGGGATCTATTTTGAAGACAGAACCAACTGAATTTGTTGGCACTTTGCATGTAAGTTGGAGAGAAAGACAAGAAGGCATGGTGCTGCTCTGTACCTCAGTGTCCCCATCTGTACAGATGTGTGACCATGTCACGTCATGCAGAAAACACCAAGAACAACTAATGAGTTCAATAAATGTTAGCTATTGTTATGCTAAAAATGCCCCTCCCCACCTCCTGAAATATAATCTCCATGTCCATGCACAGATTTCTTTTTTCTTCCTTGTGGCCTTTTGCCATCTTGATTGGGAGTTGCTTGGTGCTCAGTTGTGAGGAGCTTGGTACTCAGTTGGGAGGTACATGGTGCTCAGTTGGGAGATGCTTGGTGCTCTGTTGAGAAGTGCTTGGTGCTCAGCTGTGAGGAGCTTGGTACTCAGTTGGGAGGTGCATGGTGCTCTGTTGAGAAGTGCTTGGTGCTCAGTGGGGAGGAGCTTGGTGCTCAGTTGGGAGGTGCTTGACACTCAGTTGGGAGGTGCTTGGCACTCAGTTGAGAGGTACTTGGTGCTGGGTTTGGAGCAGTCTTCACTCCCATCCAGGCTGGCTTTGCCTGCACAATCTCCGGGAGCTGGTCAGTTTCTGGCTCTGGCTTTTCTTATTAAATGTTTGAAATCCTTTCTGATCTTGCTTCTGAATTCTGCCCCAGATCTCCCCGGGGTCACACCCCTGCCCCCTGGAGCAAAGTGGACTTTGGTGTTAATGCCCTGGGCAGAACTTCTGAAGCCCCGGCCTCTCCCCCATGCCTTCCCCTGCCCTAGTAACGTGTCTGATGAATGAGGGAGTGAAAATAGCAGTAGTGGTCCCCCACTCCCCAAACTGAATGAAGGTGAGAACACTGGACTGTAGTCCCCAGTTGCTTCTGTGAATGAGGTTGAGGTTTGTGGTCCCCAAGTTCATCTGGGAATGTGGTTGAGGTTTGAGATGCCTGCTCTGTCCCCTTAGGCACCACGTTTCCCAGGAGGGGAGGACTCCAGGCCAGTGCATAGAAGCCGTGGGCAGCACCCCCATTCTCACCAAATACTGACCTGAATAGTGGTCCTCGGCACAAGTTTAACCACTGAGTCCTGGGGGCAGTGGATTTTGTCCTCCGTCCTGGCCACAGGCGTGCGATTGAAAAGGTCAGCTTTGCCTCCTCCTGGCCCTGTTGGAGCCCCTACCCTCTCCTTTTGCCCCCGTGTGATGCCATCCCCTGCTGGGGTCCTTCTTCAGATGAGGGGCTACCTGTCCTGGCCGTCATCAGGAAGGAAGGTTCTCAGACCGAATGTCCACGTCAGTGTGCATGTGACCAAGAGCCCGCAGCCAGGGGGGCCCATGGGCCTCAGAGACTGGACTTGGTGCAGTTTCAGCTGCGCAGGTGGCAAAGCCCAGGCGTCCAGGCCGGGTGGAGGGGAGACACCAGTGCCAGGTGCCCATGGGGTGGCAGAGCAGGACCTGGGGAGGACCCCCTGGCCCCAAGTCCCTGGGGCCAGGCAGACACCAGCCCAGCGCTGGGGGGAGGCCGGGGCCTGTCCCAGCTCACGAGGGGCTGCAGTGGCTCTTGGGTCTCCAGTTAAAGCTGGGCTGAAACCCAACCCCCTCTTTAAAATGCAAAATGGCCCTTCCCTAAAATAACATACAACCACAACCGCAGCCAGCCTCGCACAGAGCCCAGGCTGCAGCGTTTTTCTTCGGAAGTTGATCTTCCTCCGTGGAATTTGGCTGGGCCTGCGGCAGCGTTCAGACTCTGCAAGGGCACGTCCACGCCAGCCGGGCTCTGGTCGCAGAGTGGCTTGCAGATTCCCCATTTAAGGAAACCAGCGGGCCTCTGTTATGAAACTCGGGGGAAGGAATTTGAATTATGCTCCTCGCGGAGGTCCTGAGCCTTCCCTGTTGGCTGCCGTGGAGCATTCAGGGAGGGCATGAGTGGCCCGCTCTGAGATCGATTCTCTTGATACCTTCCTGGTGGGCAGGCGGTGGGAGGCTGGGCCGTTTCCAGGCTGCGGGGGGTGGGAAGAGCGCAGGGAAAGGAAGGCGTGTGTACCAGGCTGGCGGGAGCCTTTGCCGAGCTGGCTGACAGCACCTGTGAGCCTGAGGCTGCCAGGAAAAGTTCACCCACAGCCCCGGCCTGCTGGCGAGGGGGTGAGTCATATGACGGCCAGGCTCTGGCATTAACCAGAGAACCACACAGAGCCCCTGGCATGTGACGCGGGGTGGGTCAGCCTTTCAGAGCCTTCGTTTTCTCATCTGTCCAGTGGGGCTAGTAATTCCGCTTTTCCTGGGCCAGTCGAGGTCTCTCTAGATGCAAAGGAGACAGTATAAGAGAGGCTTTTCGGAGAGGTGTCCGTGTGAAGCGTGCTCTCTCCTGTCTGTCCCTACTGTGCCTGGAGAGGAGGGGAGCTTGGTGACAACAGCTGGGTGCAGTTGGTTTGTTGCTGCGGTGCCGGGAGGCGGGTATGTTTTGTACGAAGCCCCTGCAAGCTCATTCAAGTTAACTCGTCACAACAACTCTGGCAGGTGGCAGTGCACCAACTGAGACAGGATGCCCCTCTGGGAAGCCCGCATGGCCCCACTGATGGGGGTGGCAGCTGCTTGTGTGTCTTTTTCCCTTTCCTGCTGGACAGAGGCCCCCAAGGGGCAAGGCTGGGCCTGTTCTCCCATGTCCCTGACACCCCCGCTGGTCCCTAGTGGACGGCAACTCAGGGTTTGCTGAAACGGGACGAGGTTTTACCTCTGGAAGTGGAGGCCGAGAGCAGTGCGGGGACTTGCCCGTCGTAGCGAGAAGCAGCTCAAAGAGAAGGGTCTATGGGCGCACGGAATAGGTTGTCTGAGAAGTGCCCTGTTCTCACACTCACTCAACTCGCAGGGCACCGCCTCTCCCCGCTGGGGTTGCACCCCTGGCAGGCCCTCCCACAGGGGGCTCCCGGCAGCCCCCTGCCTTCCCCAGTCAGTGTTCCAGGTTGACTCCCATTGGCCCGGCATGAACGAGCCACCTGTCTTCAAAGCGGTCACTAGGGCGGGGGTAATGGGATTTGCTGATGGGCCAGGACCCATGCGTGCCCACCCCAGGAGGAGGGGAGACCACACCACCTAGGGAGTTACAGGGACCACCAGTGGGAGGGGGGCTCCTCAAAGTGAAACCTGGGCACCATCTCCGTCCTCTGTGGAGAAGAGCTGCTGGGTAGACAAAACAGATCTGCCACCCCTCATGTCCTGTGGCTCATCCACGGCCTACTGGGGCGGGAACCTGCGGGACTCGTGCCTTCTAGGCTGGTGTGGTTCCTCTCTCGTCTCCACTGAAGAGCCATGCCCAGTCTCTAGGCTCACACTGGTGGGCGCCTCGCCCTGCGGCCGGCCTGGGCCACGGGAGCTGGAGAACTGGGCACATTCTCTGGATGCTGGCAGGGGTTGAACCCATCACCTCGGATGCCTGGTGTCGCAGTGTGTTGTCTCTGCTCACTTGGCGGGACATTAAATAAGGAAGCCTTTTCGGGAGGTGGTGGTTTCTTGCTGGAAACTTGAGAATGTGGATAAGCAAAGGCGGGTCACCCACAAACCCACCTGGGAATAGCTGCTGTTATTATTTCAGTGTGCACCCCACCTATGTGTGTGTGTTTTTTTTTAAGAGACTTAATTTTTTTTTCTTTTTTGTTTGCTGAGGAACGGTTGCCCTGAGCTAACATCTGTTGCCAATCTTCCCTACTTTTTTTCTTTTGCTTGAGGAAGATTGTCCCTGAGCTAACATCTGTGCCAGTTTTCCTCTATTTTGTATGTGTGTCGCTTCCACAGCATGGCTGACGTGTGGTGTAGGTCCGCGCCCGGGATCTGAACCCGTGAACCCAGGCCACCCAAGCGGAGCGTGCCGAACTTAACCACTGTGCCATGAGGCTGGCCCCAATAGACTTAATTTTTTTAAAAGCAGTTTTAGGTTCCCAGCAAAACTGAGGGCAAGGTATAGAGAGTACTCATATACCCATGTACGTTCTGTGGGTCCAGACAAAGGTTTAATGTCATGTATCCACCGTTGTAGCATCCTACAGAATAGTTTCACTGCCCTAAAATCCTCTGTGCTCCACCTGTTCATCCCTCCCCGCAACCCCTGGCAGCCCCTGATCTTTTTACTGTCTCCATAGTTTTGCTTTTTCCAGAATATCATGTGGCTGGAATCATGCAGTACGTGGCCTTTTCAGATTGGCTTCCCTCACTTAGTAACATGCATTTAAGTTTCCTCCATGTTTTTTCATAGCTTAATAGTTCATTTCTTTTTAGCGCTGAATAATATCCACCCCACATGTTTTTAATTGCCTTTTAGAGGTTCAATTACAGTGTTTTCATAGTAGCTAAAAATCAGAAACAACTCAAATGTCCAATGCAGAGTTACTTAAATCGTTTACAGTACTGTATCGCTATTAAACAACGAGGAGGATTTCTATTAGTAAAAAGAGAGGGTGCCCAGGATATTCTGCTAATGGAGAACAAATTGGAAACAGTATATTTTGATTACCCAACTTTGTTTAAAAATTAAGATATTACTAACTGCTTAGAAGACAAATTGAAAATAACAACTCCCCAAGCCCTAAACATTGGTTAACTCGTTTGGGTGAGATTTTAGGGCAAATTCACTGTCTCTGCTTTATGTTTGCACCATGTAGACAGAAAACAAAGATGGAAAGCAGATCTGTGTTAGCTTTCTCCCCTCATGCCTCTGCCGCTCCCTCATCAGGTACATGTACTGGACAGACTGGGGCGAGACACCCCGAATCGAGCGGGCGGGGATGGACGGCAGCACCCGGAAAATCATTGTGGACTCGGACATTTACTGGCCCAACGGGCTGACCATCGACCTGGAGGAGCGGAAGCTCTACTGGGCCGACGCCAAGCTCAGCTTCATCCACCGTGCCAACCTGGACGGCTCGTTCCGGTGAGTGGCCGCCCAGCTGCGGGCCCCTCCTTCCCCACCATGCCCCAGCTGTCACCAGACCCTCGGCTGGTCCTAGCTTAACTCAGGCCCATAGTCTTGTATGTGAAACCCTGGGGGCCTGAGGAATTCGAGACTTTTCAGAACTTAGAACAGTAAGAGAGTGTACATACCACATCTAACATCTCAACCCAAGTGAGGTCTGGGGCGGCAGCTACCATCTGCCACGTGAATATTTTTATAGCAAAATGTAGAGCGTTGGTTCTAAGTGGGATAGAAAACACTGTAAATAGCCCCGTCTCCGTGCACAGGTTTTGCCGCTAAATGAGCAACAAAATGCTTTCGATTTTCAGAGTTTTTTAGATTTCAGAATTGTAGATAAGGGATTGTGGACCTAAAGCCCGAGGGTCCGACAGGGCTGTGAATAGTTCACTGTGCCCCCTCCCTCCCCGCAGCACGTAAGCCCCCCGAAGGCAGGAGCCAAGTGGGTCTTGGTCTTCACTGCATTCCCCAGTCATGCCAGAGGGCCTTCCACATAGCAGGTGCTTAATAAAATGGGTGAATGAATGAATGACTATGAAGGATTTTTTCCTTGCTTTAGAGCTTTCTTTTTAGCTTAGCTCCACAGCCCCGCTACCTCATTACGCTTTAGATGTAGGAACATCCCCTCCATGTACAGGTCAGGCCGTTATTCATTGACCAGGTGCTGCCTGCTGGCACTGTGCCAGGTCTTGGGGATCCTCCTGGGAGGACAGACCCTGTTCCTGCGCTGGCAGGGCTCCTGGCCCCGGGGGGAGTGTGTGGGTGCCAGTGCCGAGGGCTGTGGGGATACCACGTGGGGCAGACTGAGTGGGGGATCTCTGCAGACACAGACAGACACCAACTCCAATGGACCTGAGGATGTTGGCAGATCTACATTTTATCCAGGCCTTGTGTATTAGTTATCTGTTGCTGCATAACAAAGATGCCCAAAACTTAGCAGCCCAAAACAGCAAACCGTTTTCTGGGGGGTCAGGAGTTAGGAGCAGCTAAGCTGGGCGGTTCCTGCCCAGGCTCCTGCCAGGGCTACGGTCCTGTGAAGGCTGGACCGAGGCCAGAGGATCCACTTCCAACGTGGCAGGAGACCTCAGTCCCTCCTAGACCTCTTCTTACTGCTGAGCCAGGCACCCTGGCTGGTTTGAAACATTCTATCCCTTCGTCCCTGGGAGCACAGACTGGCCTGGGGTCTGGTTTGAGATTTGAAAAGTGGGGCAGTCTAGGGAACCGTGGTCCTTGGGGAGGTATGTGATCCTGGCAGTTATGAAGGGTGGATTAGAGGCTGGAAATGCTGTAGGCTGGGGGTGCCCTGGTTGAGGGGTTGTGACAGGGGACAGTGAGGATGATGGTGGCATTTGAAACATGATAATTGTGGTGGTGATGATGATGATGGTGGTGGTGATGATGATGATGGTGGTGATGGTGATGATGGTGGTGATGGTGGTGATGGTGATGATGGTGGTGGTGATGATGGTGGTGGTGATGGTGATAATGATGGTGGTGATGGTAGCTAACCCTTCCACAGTGGGTTATTCTCACTGTTTCATTCTCACACCAGCCCTATGAAGCGTTTGCTATTATGAACCCTTATTACAGTGACACACAGCGAGGCACTTGAACTCACCCAAGGCCACACAGCTAGTCGGAGTCAGGGTTGGAACCCAGGCGCTGTGACTGCAGGGTCCACCCTCAGTCCATCTTCTACCTGCCTCATCACCGGATTCTTCTGGCTCTGTGTGGCTACCGCTCTTGATGAACGTGCCCAGGGCTGTTCAAAGGCAAGCCTGATGTGCTGGTAAAGAGGGTGAGCACTGGAGCCACTTGGACCTGCTCGGCTCCCTCTCAGCCATGACTGTCTGGGTCCCTCCTGCTCAGAGCCTCGGGGCCTCGCGTGTGAACTGGGGTAGTAATTGTACTTTCTAGAGGGGTTCACAGGGTTCACTGCGGCCATGCACATGAAGCTCGGGGCACTGTGCCTGGACACAGTAGGTGCTCAATAAAGGCTGGTGTGCCCGGGAGCTCCTGGATCCAACGGGAGGTGGAGGGGGCGTAGCTGGAGCTGCACCCGGAGAAGAGGGGGCTTCCTAGGAGCAGGGGCGAGGGTGGGCAAGGTGACCCAAGACCTGGAACTAGCTTCCCGCAGTGCGTTCAGCAGGGGCAGGCCTTGGTGAGGAGGAGTAGCCCCAGAAATGATAGGTCTCTGCTTCTCTGATCAAAAAATGTGACATCGTGGAAAACGATTTGGTGGTTTCTCAGAATGTAAACACTGAATTAACGTAGAATCCAGCAATTTCACTCCTAGGTTATACCCCAAAGAATTGAAACCAGTATGGTCATAAATCCTTGTACACAAATGTCCGTAGTAGCACTATCCCCAGTAGCCAGAAGGGGTCAACAACCCCGTGTCCACCAGATGAATGATGAACAGATAAACAAAACGTGCTCAGTCCACACAATGGAATATTGTTCGGCCATCAAAAGGAATGATGCACTGACTTGTGCTACGTGGATGGACCTTGAAGACACGATGCTCAGTGAAAGAAGCCAGACACGAAAGACCACATCTTGTGTGATTCCGTTTATATGAATTGCTCAGAATAGGCAACTCCTTAGAGACAGAAGCCGACTGGTGGGTGCTGGGGGTGGGGGGATGGGGAGTAACTGCTTAATGGGTTCGGGGTTTTCCTGTGGAGTGATGGAAATATTTGGGAACTAGATAGAGGTGGTGGTTGCACAATGTGAATCTGCTATATAGCAGTGAATTATTCCTTTGGAAGTGGTTAATTTTGGGTTATGTGAATCACCTCAAATTTTAAAAAGTGACTTCAAGAAAACAAAAAAAGAGGCAGTGTCAGGTGAGATCGGGAAAGAGCATGAGCGTGTGGTTTCGGCTGTTCAGGAACACCTTTTGAGCTTTACTCTCTCCTGGGGGCTGTCCCAGGGGTTGGGGATGTGGTGACCACCCACCCACAGCGCTCCCCCCAGGAGCCTATAGTGGCAGAAGGTCATTAAACCAGATAATCACACACGCTACCAGCCGTGTATAATTACATTCTGTCAATGGGGTCCGTAATCTCATTAAAAACAAGTTCTCATTTGCTGGGCATTGTAAATTCATAGAAGAGAAAGCTTTTTCTTGTGTTGATATCAAGTTTAATTTACTCTGATAGTATAACTCATTGCATCATAGGAATGAGCAAGTAAGTGTGGTTGAGTTTGTATTGTTAGAACATCGGGACAGGCCAGGCGTGCTTGTCATCAGCTCTTTGTCACCAGATGTGGCTTCCTCCTTGCCACTTTTCTTCCTTCTTTCTTCTATGTGGGACACTTTGCAAGCAGCCACTGTTCTAGAAACGGGTTGGATGGGGAGTGGCTGGATGTGCTCCCCACCTCCCCGTGTCACTGTCAGGAATGGCGGGAGGCCGGCTGGGTCTGGAAGGTTCCCTGCGCATGCTGGGAGGGGTTCCTGGGATGCTCTGCCCTGGTCTCACGCTGCTCCATCAGAGCCACTGCTGTCCTGGGTGGTGTAAAGGGGTCAGCAGTGACGGTGGAAGGCTGTCAGGGCTGGGAGCTTGCGGGACCGTGGGGAATCCTCTGATGGCTCCTCCCCCCGCCTCCCGCACCTGCAGGCAGAAGGTGGTGGAGGGCAGCCTGACACACCCCTTTGCCCTGACGCTCTCTGGGGACACTCTGTACTGGACGGACTGGCAGACCCGCTCCATTCACGCCTGTAACAAGAGGACTGGAGAGAAGAGAAAGGAGATCCTGAGTGCTCTCTACTCCCCCATGGATATTCAAGTGCTCAGCCCCGAGCGGCAGCCCTACTGTGAGTCGGGCGGGGGGCGTGGTGGCTGATGTCTTCCCCAAGGGCACCCTGTGGTCTGGGGGAGGCCAACCCTCAGAGCAGTGAGGAGAAAAGGGGGTGCTTGCTAGAGTGGAAGGAAGTGTGTGCAGAGTCCAGGGATAGGCTGGGGGAGGAGTGTGCAGAGTGCAGGGGCAGGGTGGGGGTGGGTGTGTACAGAGTGCAAGGATAGGCTGGGGGAGGAGTGTGCAGAGTGCAGGGATAGGCTGGGGGTGTGTGCAGAGTGCAGGGGCAGGTGGCGGGTGTGTGCAGAGTGCAGGGATAGGCTGGGGGGGTGTGCAGAGTGCAGGGGCAGGCTGGAGTGTGGTGTGCAGAGTGCAGGGGCAGGCTGGGGGAGGTGTGTGCAGAGTGCAGGGGCAGGTGGAGGGGGTGTGCAGAGTGCAGGGATAGGCTGGGGGGTGTGTGTGCAGAGTGCAGGGGCAGGCTGGGGTGTGGTGTGCAGAGTGCAGGGGCAGGCTGGGGGAGGTGTGTGCAGAGTGCAGGGGCAGGTGGGGGATGTGTGCAGAGTGCAGGGATAGGCTGGGGGTGTGTGTGCAGAGTGCAGGGATAGGCTGGGGGTGTTATGCAGAGTGCAGAAAAATCTGTTCTAAGTTGCAGTCCTCAGGCTAGGGTCCCCATACAGTTGTGGCAGGGGTCCCTGATGGTGACAGACTTGAAACGCGTGGGCTCAGGGCTCCTGTTACAGGTGGCCTGTGGGGCCGGGGCTCTGGGCGCACCTGCTTCTTGGGGACCAGGGTTTCTTGCCATGGTGCTGTAGAAGGTTCTAACTTTGAACTTAAGAGTGGGGGTCCGGGGGTCTCTCAGTACCAAAGGGAAGGGGGCACTCTGGAGTTGTTTTCTGGTGAGAAGGTCGTGGTCCTTAAACGCCCCCACATTTGGGGCAGCCACGTGCCTAAGGCAGCGTTGGGGAGGGAGAGGCACCTCCCAGCGAGTCTGCTGCAGTAACCAGTGGGTTCTATACTGCTCATTTCAAGGGAGCTGCACTCCAGCCTGCCCTGGCACAGCGAGATGCCGGAAGTGTTAGTTCAGTTCAGTTCAGTTCAGTTGCATGTTGGTTGTGGAAGGGCTTGGGAGGATGGAAAGCGTTGTCATTGGCACCGAGAGGCTCGGCCCAGTGTCCAGGTGTGGCCACCAAGCATTTGTGCAGATCCCGTGGGGTCCTGGCATGTCAAAAAGATAGGACAGGCCTCTGCTCCGGGGTCCCCACCATTACCGCACGGCGGGTCCTGAGATCCTGTCGGAGGGCAGCCTTCACGGAGGAGGTGTCCTTTGAGGGGCCCTGAAGAAGATGAAGGTTTCTTGTAGGATATTGGGGGATGGGGGCAGGGCAGGGAGGATGCCCACACCAGGAGTGGTAGATGTGGGTGGGTGGGGGTGGGGGTCAAGGGTCCTGTTCTGGAACCTTCTCTCACCCTGCCCTGTATTCGCCAGTCCATACGCGATGTGAGGAGGACAATGGCGGCTGCTCCCACCTGTGCCTGCTGTCCCCAAGAGAGCCTTTCTACACGTGTGCCTGCCCCACCGGCGTCCAGCTTCAGGACAACGGCAAGACGTGCAAGGCAGGTGAGATGGAGGCGCCGGTGGGGGCCGGCCTGGCGGGGGGGCGGCCCCGGGCTTGGGTGCCCTGTGGGGACCGTCAGTGGACCATTCAGCACTGGCTGCTTTCATCGGGAGGTTTCAGGCGTTCCGGCTCCTCATCTGGGTGGACTTGGACAGCCGAGCAGCTGGGGTTTGACGTCAGATCTGGCTGTGCTGCCCAATGGTCAAATGATCCCCGGCACGTTACTGACTCAGAACTCAGGTTCCCGTCCTCAGCACGAGGCTGTGACGGGCGGGTAGAGACCCCAGGTGCCGGGCACGCTGCCGGCATGCCACAGTCGCACCCTAAGAGCTTGCTCTCGTTGCCTATCAAACAAAAACTGTGTTATTGTAAAAAGAACAGTAGTGTCAGAGAACATCGTGAAATAGGAGCGCCCCGCGATCCTTTTCTTCGTTGTCGTCTCTCCTGAGTGTACACTGATGGTGTGGGACAGTGGGCCTCCCAGTGTGGTTTCGTCTTCTGCTTTTCTGCTGTTTCATAAGCATTTTCTGCATTGTTACAGAATCTATAATTCACTTTTATCCTTGCATCCCCTCCCCGTGGAGTCTTCATGCCATAATAAGCCCCTGTGGAAACTTAGGTTGCAAACGCACCCTTTATGGGAGTTTCTTTTAGATGCACGATGTTCAATGGATCCCCTCCCCACACACAAGTTATTTTCTTTGTTTCAGGTATTTTACCACCTTTTAATTCTCCCTCTTGATTTTCAGGCACTTGCTGCTTCAAGGACTTGTGCTGTGATTATTTTTTAATGAAGCGTCGCCCCCTACCCTGTGGTGCCGTCTGAGGCTCTTTACTTGCACGTGTCAGGTTCAGGGTGTGCTCTTGCGGAAATGACTTGCATCCGGGATGCAGCCTGTCCCTGGGGGATGTCCAGGGCCCAGCACAGCTGGACGACGCCGGGGCGGACTCAGACCTGGCCAGCGAGGAGGTTAATGCGAGAGGCCCGGAAGCAGCCACCCCCGCACCCAGTCCCACTTGAGGGAAAAGAAAGGAGGGCAGGGGGCTTTCCTTTCCTGGTAGGCTGGCTTCCACCACGGGGTCCCATGAGGTGGGGGTTCCATGGGGCGGAGTCTGAGATGAGCAGCCCACTAGACACGATCTTCCTCCCTCTGCCCACGGCTGCCAGCCTGTCATCTGCTGCCCGAGCACACGGGGTCTCCACCCGGGGTCGTTTCTTGGTCTCTCTGCTGTCAGCGGGCCTGGGTCTGTATTTGTGTGCAGTGGTCCTGTCATCATGCTGGGGCCGGGGCACCTCTGCTCCCTGGCAGGGCTCCTGCTTCCGTGAAGACTTGGCTGTCACACCAGAGGGTCTGTTAGCGGTATGGTGCACCAGCCCCTGCAGGCCCCCCAAAGGGCCTTATTTTCCCAAGTGCCCTTGGGAGGGTCATGCACGGGGGGGGGACATCATTAAGAGGACACGCCACTGTTTGGGAGGACTGGGAGGGAGAAGGAACAGACTGAGGCAGGAGCGAGTTGGTGTTAGCGGGGACGTCATGGGTGTTTGTTCTGTGCTGTCACACTGGCCCCGTGTCCAGAAGGGCCCATGCTTGGTTTAATGCTCTGCTGTTGCCAACTTGAAATGCTTAATAACTTTTGAACAGGCAGCCCCGCATTTTCATTTTGCCGTGGTCCCCGCAAATGATGTAGCTGGTCTGCATGGTGGATTTGAGAAACTACAGGGAAATCTGGAGAGAGTCTATGAATATTTTGGTGTGTCTTTCTCCGCTGTTTTTCCGTGTGTGACTCTCTATGTCTATGCGTTGTTTATACAGCTAGCTATTGTTTATTTCAGTTCACATTTGCAATTACAGGAGATATATATGCTTCAAAAACATGAGTTTTTGCGTCTGAAGAATATTTTAACAAGTGGTCATACCTTTGAACCATCTTCCCCACCATCGGGCATTTCTATGCCATTTGTGTTTTTGCTGTTTCCAAATCATGCTGCCCTGAGGGGCTGGTCTGGGGCCTGGCCCTGGAGTTAGAGGGATCTGGATGTGGTGTCTGTGGCCACCATTGATTGGTGATGCCTGCCCGAGACCTGTGTTCGATCGGTTGGTGATGTGTGCTCTGGGAGAGGGAGCAGCGTGGCTGGATGCCGGTGTGGTTGCCATCTATGCCCACTTGGGGTGGCTGGAGCCAGGCTGCATATGGACATGTGGGGAAGGAGTAGGGGATCGACATGACCCCCCAAAAGGTGGATCATGCAGTAGTGCCTGCCCCGATGGGGAAACTTGTGCAGTCAACTTTTGTGAAGGGGTCCTGTGAGGCTCCCTCACGCATCAGAGTTGCAGGAATATGGGATATGAGCAAAAATGGGATGTGGGCCCAAATAGAGTCCCACTCATGGCCCATCCTTTCTCCAGCTGTGAAGTTGCACAGCTGGAGAAGCTTGGGGTTACAGAAAGGACTTGCTCAGGCTACCCTGGGGTGCAGAGGGCTGTGGGTTGGTCATTTGGAGTGGATGGTGCCCAGAGCCTTGTCACCCTACACCCCCTATCCTCATATGAGAGATGGGGGTCACAGACCACGCCCGCCCAGGGAGGCAGTGGAGGACCCAGTGCATTAGCAGGAATTGAAGGCACTGTGCATAGTAGGTCTCCAGTATATGGCAGCCACATCCGCCATTCACGTGGTTGGCATCCCATCATCTCGTCAGGCCTGAGGGAGCTGGGGCAGTTCTACTGGAGGCCTAGGTTTGCCTCCATCATCCAAGGGTCCTCCCACCCTGGGGGAAGGGGGCTGTGGGCTCACATGGACCCCTGCCTCCCTTCTTATTCCCACTATTCCCATGGCTGAGCCTCTGAGCCCTGGGGAGAGAGCCCCGTGGTCAAGCCCATTGAGGGCATTGTGTTATTTCTGCATGCATTGACCATGCATCTCCATATCCAGGCCCAGAGCAGCCCTGGGGAGCCCTCTCCTGGAAAGGGGGTGGCAGGGGGCAGAGTAGAGGAGGTGGCTGGGGAGGGAGGGCTTCCTGGAGGAGACAGCACTGGGGGCTGGAAGCTCTGCGGTGGGGAGCTGACACCAACGCCTGCGGGGTGGAACCAGTGGATTAGCAGCAAAGCCTGTCCTTCCTGTTGGAAGCTGTCGGACAGGGGGCCAGTGCACAGCTTGCAGCCTCCTTCAGTGAGGATGGCCAGCCGGCAGATTTCCCTGGGATTCAGCTGCTCAGGGCCACTTTCCCTGGTCTTGTGCACCCTCCCAGCTGTGGAGGACACTTTTACAAATAACTCACTTGGAGAATGCCAAGTGCGAGGAAGAAAAACATTTGTGTTGTCATTCCGAGGGGCCCAGCTTGGGTGGGAGTGTGGGCCGGGCGGGGGACTTTTCTACGCTGAGCCTGCGTCTTTCTGATTTTGTTCCAGATGCCCCAGCTTGGGGGTTATGTCAAAAGGAGGGAGAAGCTCACAGAGGAGACAGAAGGGATGGGACGGGAGTCTTGCTTTGCAGAAGAATGTGACATTTGGGTTCCGTGTTTTTCTAAGCGTGGTTCCCACTGATGGACTGGTTGGTTCTGGGGGCCAGTGGCGGCCTCTGTAGCTCCTGCCCTGGACCCGTTCGAAGTTGAAGTGTTCCAGGGGCAGCTGGGGGAGTCGGGGAGCATAAACAGAGTTTCCTAAAAGTTTTAGTTTGAGTGGAGGAGAAACCCGGAAGCTTCTCAGAGCATTTCAAGGGTTTGCCACCAGGATGGCTTTCTGGAAATTCGAGGTGGTTCTAAAATCTCTCTCCGTATTTCTTAATCCCGAGGGATACAGGCAGGCGTGAGAAGTGGGTTCGTCCTTGAGAGACTTTCAGTCTGTTTGGGGGGCAGACACAGTGAGTCAGAGACGGGACCAAGGGCATGGCCTGAATGGGGCTGAGGGCTTCAGACTTCGCAAACAGCGACAACCCCGCCGGCGAACTGGGGTTTTAGGATGCGGATCACGCACACTCCAGTGTTTATTCCTTGCCACAAAATATCATGCTAAAGGAAAACATTGATTAAAGGGCCATACTCCTACCGGAGCACCATAGCTGTTTTTCTCTTCTTGCACGGCGTCCGTTGGCACGGATGGTTTTGCCTCCCAACGGACATAAATTACACGTGGAATGTGGATTCTGGCTGCCGACGATGTGCGGGGTGTTGATTGTGAAAACCACCTGGAGATAGCAGCTGGTAATACAAGGGTAAAATGAAAAAAATGAAACACTAAATCCTGTTGAATGTCACCGCTGGCAGCAAAGCTCTGAGGTCCTGGTGGCAGAAGCCTTGTGCGGGGCGCCTAGCTGGCCGGAAGGGAGCAGCACCCCGGGAGGGCTGCCAGTGCCCGGAGAGCCTTCCAAGGCCGGGGTGTCCGGTGGGAGGATGGAATTCGGAGGCTGGCAAAGGAGGCCCTGGAGTTGCTTGGGGATCTCCTCTTGGCCGTGGAATTGGTGAGGTCGGGTGTCCCAGGGGGGTGAAGAACCTAGCCCACATTGTGATGGCTCAGGGGTGGCCCTGGGCTACAGGAAAGGCCTCTGGGAAAGACAGACATGGAGAACAGCTGCATTGGTGCGATTTCCACTATTTCAGGAGGGAAGGCATCGGAAGCGACATCCACGATTGGTGACATGGCTTGGTCGGTAGTGGAGAGCCCGCCAAAGATTTTTGTGGTGCTGAGGAAATTCAGGCTCAGGCGAACCCAGAATTTAGAGCACCTGATTTTCAATTGTGTGATGGCTTTCTACGTCCTGTCATTATTTTACAATACCTTAACTCACGTCCCAGCTGTGTGATCTTGGGAAAATGACTCAGCCTCTCTGTGCTTCCGTTTCCTCACCTTTAAAAGGGGACAATAATGGTACCTGATTCATGGGGTTGTTGGGAGGAGGGCCTAGCCCCCCAACAGTTATGAGCTATGCTTCAGTTTAAACTTGAACTTGGAGCCAGGCAGGCAGTCTGATTTGATGCCAGGAGAGTAGTTGTTCCCTGAACGTTTGGAATCAGAAGTAGATACCGAGGCTGGGTGGTGCCCAGAGGAGCTAGGCAGGGGCAGAGGGTGGATGGGCACCCTCCCCAAACGGCCCAGTGGGTGACGGGCAGAAGAGTGAGGTGTGTGTCCTGGGTGTGCTGGGCATGTGGCTCCCTTCCCGTGGGATGAAGGCCAGCATTGGGCCGGGAGGGATTTTGGGTCAGGGACAGATGCCTGGCTGTGTCGAAATTACTCGGACTCAGTGTCATGTCTGGGTTCCCCTGCCCCAGTCAAAGTC